GCGATTCTGAAATTAGATGGAAGAATGCAAAAAAAGCAAATCTAAATCGCTCCGAATGATTTTTTTAAATTGATATCAGCTGTTTTGTGTTCGCTTTCGTCACGAGGAATTACTTCGAAAGAAGTTTTTTTATTTGATATAAAATACTGACAAATTGTTTTCTTGCATAATTACTTAATGTATAGAATTAATGATGCATAACTGTGATTTTTACACAAATTTACACAAATTGATCGTTAATTCAGCAACATTGAGTTGGTGATTGTTTTGACCTATTGTTTGTTTGTAATGGAATCTAATTGAGTTATGTCAATGTATTAACGAAGATTAACTTATGAATTGTTTATATCTTTTGGTCTCGATATGAATTGTAAATTCAAAACTACCAACAGGGACTTGTTTAGATTAGACGTAAAACTTCTCTTCAATTTACCACCTATTTGATAAATTGAACGATGACTTTTGCAGTCATTGAGGTCGACACTAATTTGTTTAACGCCCCAGTTAGTATATCATTTCTCAAACGTGTTGTTAGATTTTCTTGAATCGTTGACAATCGGCGTTCATTAGACATTTCATGTTTGGTCATTCGCGTAGTCATTAATTAGGTTATTCTTTCGCCTAGTCGAGAACCAATAGCTATGTATAATCAAACTATTTCCTGTTATACCCTTAATTGTATAAAAATCAAAAGATCAGGTTTTTCATGACTCTTGGAGTCATTTTCCTGCAAAACCAAATATTCGGCCAGTTTTTTATCGGTGTTAATAAATGAAATGAAATCATTGAATTTTGAAGAATGATTTTACACTAGATAGAATTGATTTTTTGACCTCCAATGGAATTTTTAGTTAGACTTACCTGAAATTTTTGGTATCAGAATCTATAATGGGAGGTTCCCGTAAATCGATTCCGATTGACTTCAAACTTTCTGGCGGTTCATTTTTGGTGAAAATGAAGTTTGGAAACTAACCATTTACAAACGCCATCTGTAATCTTTTCAAAAAAGTTTTTCTCAGTGTACACTTCGATTATAACATTTCAATGCAAATTTCCACAAAACCAATGAACATATTTAGACCGCATAGCACTTAAATTCTTTGTATGAACTCCCTCTATAAGATTCAATGTAGAAACTGAAAAGTACTGCAAATGCGATCAGCATGAAACTTTCAGGATCTTATTTTTTCAGCAAAAAATTGAATTCCAGAAAGTTTCAAGCCATTCAGAAAATACATAGTTTTCGATAAAAATGTTCAAAATTGTAATCAAAAACAATTGTGTTTTAGGTTCGTTTGTACTTTATTTCTTGTAACTTTTCATCACAAAGCAAAACTAAGTCAAATTTTTGGACAATTTCGGAGTGAAATGTCAAAAATAGCTGAAACTGGATTTTCTTTTTTGGTAATTTTGCAACGAATAACATATTTGCCCGCAAAAATTTTGAAAAAAATTGTAAAAAAAACCAGTCTAATCAGAGAACAATCAAATCCATTGTTTAAAAGTGCACAGCAAAAAATAAAAGTCTACATCTGGGCGTGTTTTCAGCTAAAGACTCATTCAGCCGATATTTCTGCTAGTACCTTGAGCTACAGGCGAAATTCCGCTTATAATCTAGTCGGTATTTTGTCTGAAACTCTGTTTGCTAGGCGAAATATAGGACTGGGCGCCTCTACCAGTCGAAATTCCGCCTAAATCTGGACATTTATTTTTGACTGTGTGTCAAAAATGTGTCTAATTTGAAGTTCGAATAATTTATTTTGTCAAATTTTTGTTTTTGCACACATTTTTCTTTATAGTAACTTTACAATCACACTACATAGACAAATATTACCAAAGACAAAAATAAAGAGAAAACATTGACGAATAAAAATCCCTTTTGAAGCAATGTGATCGGCTCTACAGGCGTTCAAATGTTGCCTGTCTAGAGGCGGTTGTATGCATTAGGGGGTTAACTTCGAAGTTCCATTGTGATATACATATTTATAAAAAAAACAGAAAATATTCTTCAAAAATGTGTTCGAATTTCGAAAAATCCATTTTTCCACGATTTGAACCAAAAGCCATTAGTCCCGAAAGACCATAGACTTACACCACCTGGCCAAGGCATTTGGAAGTTATGATCAATGGGTATCAGCATTCTGTCAATCGTATGGAAATACGACAACAATTTGTCTGCATCCAACATAGCTAGTTTTGCGATTATAGTGGCGCTGCTATGTTCAAGTATTTTCCTGTATTCGAAGAAGATCCACACAAAAGGGAATGAAAAATTTTCGTTATGATTTTTTTCTATTGAATTTTTTTGAATGTATTTTACATTACAAAAACGACACCTGCGGCGCTGCGAACGTTTGACAGGTAACAGTCAATTGTTAGCAGGCATTGGTTATGATGGCTAGAGAGAAAATTAAAAAACAAATACAACCAGAGCATCAGATTCGCTACTGATGGCGCCATCTAGATTTTCCATACATTTTCATTCCACAATGAAACCGAACTAAAACGAAACGAGGAATCGATTTTCGATGAAATTTCATTCAGACTCATGACATTTGTTCAATCTGGTTGTATTTAATATGTCCGTTTGTCCGAGTGACTTGTCCGTTTATGATTGGGTTTTGTCCGTTTATGATTGGGTTTCGTCCGTCCGTCTGTTTGTCCGTTTGCTAAATGTCTATTTGATTCGGACAAACGGACGGACGGACAAAAACAGAGGAGAAAAGTCACTTACCCCACCAATGAGCTGAAACAAATAATGTTGTCCGTTTCTATGTTGCTGGAGTGTGTAACCGAACTTCAACATCAATCGATTTTTTACGGAGCAGATATTTCGTGTGTTGGGTCTACAACGACTTGTGCAATTTGCATGGATCTGCTCAAACTGTGCTTTTGACCGGCGCAAGATAGCGGTGGCGCCTATTCGCAATTTGCGGAATTTTTAAGAACTATCAATACTTGTTGTTGTTGTCATGAATTTCGCAACAACAAGAAGTATTGATAGTTCCTTAAGTTGCCGCAGATCCTATTAAGGCGCTACCGCTATTCACTGTCACGTCAAATACATTGGTTCTTATGGGAGAGAAGCACAGGTTGGATCTGCTTGAATGCCATCAAAAGTGATGCTAGCGTGGAATATCTAACGGTTGCTTGTGCATGTCTCACCCATAGGGTGGTAGTAGACTGCTCCAAAAAAAAGTTGGTTCGAAAAAAAAAGTGCCGTCCAGTTTCGAAAAATATACATAAAAAAAAAAGGTTTGGTCCAAAAAAACCATATGGATACCATATAAAAACCCATGGCAAGCCCCATATCAAATTTTTCATGACAGCGATTTCGGAAGCCATTTTAGATCGCAACATTTCGACCGATTCCATTATTCTAACCAAATTTCGGCAAAAAGTGATGATGGGGTTTTGTTTGGCTCGTCAATATCTATAATTTTTACCAAGACATCAGCCCTTGAAAAGGCATTCTGGGCCAGTTACAGTGTAAAATGACCAAAATAATGACAATTTTTCGGCATTTTTCGCTCTACTGGCCAGGGTGGTGGACTTTAGTTCAGTTTCGGAAGGTACCCCAAAAATACACTTTTTGGATGAGTTTCTTAGTACAAAGTTATTTTTTTCGAGAAATATTGGGAATCTACTCACACAGAATCTCTTATGAATGATTTTTGGGGTACCTTCCGAACAAAAATTGATATTTTCATAGTAAAATCCATGAAAAACATATATTTAGTTGGGGAGGTACCTTAAAAAGTCAATTTTGAGAGTTATTGTCTGAGTAGACTCCCCATATTTTCGAGAAAAAATAACATTGCACCAAGACACCATTCCTAAAAAGCTTACACTTAAGGATTTTTTGGTCAAAAGTCGATTTTTTGGGAGTTGAAATCGAATATGAGGCCAGAAATATGTGGAAACATCACTCGATTTGGTCATGTAAGTACCCGAAATGTTCGTAAAGGACCATACTAGATGTTCAAAGGCAGAAAAGGTAGAAATCATTTGCCTTTACCTGTCAAACCGAAGCTCATGTTTGTGATTTGCTCATTTTGGCCTGAAATTTGTCTTATATGTGTGAATCAATTGTCGCCAAATTACATCCAAATCGCAATCTGACAAGTACCAAAATTTTTATACAGGTTTTGACTATACGACACAAGTCCAAAACTGAACAAAAGTCCACCACCTGGGTGGCCAATAGAGCGAAAAATGCCGAAAAATTGTCATTATTTTGGTCATTTTACACTGTAACTGGCCCAGAATGCCTTTTCAAGGGCTGATGTCTTGGTAAAAATTATAGATATTGACGAGCCAAACAAAACCCCATCATTGATTTTTGCCAAAGTTTGGTTAGAATAATGGAATCGGTCGAAATGTTGCGATCTAAAATGGCTTCCGAAATCGCTGTCATGAAAAATTTGATATGGGGCTTGCCATGGGTTTTTATATGGTATCCATATGGTTTTTTTGGAACAAACCTATTTTTTTTAGGTATATTTTTCGAAACTGGACGGCACTTTTTTTTCGACCAACTTTTTTTTGGAGCAGTCTAGGTGCTTTTTTTTATTTCGAAATCTCCCGAATAAACTTGGTATTACTATGAAAAATAATAATAAAAGCTAATAAAAGCATGAGATGTAACGATTACATTATAAATTTGATCAATACATCGAATTTTCTAATGTAAAAAAATTGTGTTCGAACCGAACATCGAACACAATGAATGTCAAACGAACGAACGAACAAAAAAATATTTTTTCAAATTGTCGAACGAACGAACGAACAAAAAATATTTTTTTCAAATTGTCGAACGAACGAACGAACGAACAAAACCTTTTTGTAAAACCATGTCGAACGAACGAACAAGCGTTCGAAAGTGTTCGACGGACGTAGTGTTGGCAGCATCAAGAAAATTCAAATTGTCGCGCTGTTTAGTTCGGAAAAAAAATTCCGAAATTACATTGATTTGCCTATTGAAATTGAGGACTCTCGCGTCGCTACAGTTGTCATTTAAGTTGTTTTCGGTCTTGCTGCCATCGATGGTCTCATCCACATATTGAGAACGGAAGCCATTTTCAATGATTCAAACAACTTTTTCACCACTGACGAGAGCCACACATTCTTTAATCGGCTTCTTTTCGCTTTATATGAAATCGTTCGAAAAGATCTCGCGAACAAATCAATGTTGGAGAAGTGTCAATTGAAAGCGCTATTCAGCGAACGAAATCACACCGATAAAATACATTTCAATCCGTTCCGTTTTACTGCTTGAATGAAATTGAAATTGTGGAAAAATTCTTGAAGAGGTAATTTGCTTTTAAAGATTTTTCAGCAGATAACAGCAGCATACAATTGACGTTCGATGTTCTCACACAACCTCTTGAGATGCGTCATTTTCTATTGTTAAGAAAAAATTCTCAATGATTTTGAACAGCAGTGAGTGCAATGAAAATTATTGTTTTAACTCTCAACCGGGCAAGTGGGTCCGTTGTGATCCAAGAAGGACCTATATATTGACAAAATATGACAAAACCAGAGCGTGTTATGAGCTGATGTCAGCAGGACTAACTGACGTCTGTTGCTGATATCAGCTGCTGTCGAGTATGCATTGCGGTATTTTAACGCATTTGCAATATAAAAACGTGGAATCCAATGTTATGACAAGTGTGGTCTACCTATTATTATAAATTGTATATGAATCTATTAACCTTCAAACACCGTGATTTGGGCACTGTATGCCCAAGACCAACTTTTAACGCTTATATCTTCGTTATTTTCTATCATAAATGCATAAAATAACTATGGTTCGTTTCTTTGAGCATTTGGCTACATAAATTGGGCTAACATACTCATATATGTACGTTCACATATGTGCATGAACATTTGTGATGCGCTATACGTGAAATCGGTGCCTCTATGCCATATACATTTTTCGACAAATTGCGTATAAAAATTAATGTGAAACTATGAAAACATCATTGGAAAGATCTTGGAAAGTACATGTAATTTAAGTTATAAAACATCAAAATCGATCATCATTTTATTAAAATATGGCCATTTTATCAATTTTGGCCATAAAAAAATCCAACGGCCAAATATTGGCCAAATACCGGTCTATTTTGAAGTTTTATACCAAAAATGACATCTACTTTTCAAGACCTTTCTAGTGATATACATAACTTTTTGATCCAACCTGCCGTTCAAAATCTACATTTTTGACGTCAAAATCGACCATAGTGGAATTTGTATGTATATGTTTTTACCTTCATTTTTGTGAAGAGATCAACATTACAATCTCCACTTTATTGAAAAAAATTCCAAAAAACTTGCTGTTGTCTTTCATATTTCGATTTTTTATGACTATTATCACATTTCAAAGTAATTTTCATACTTTCCGATCAATAAATACTGAAATATTTACATTTAAAAATAAAAATTTAAGAAATTTTGACATTTTCATTCAAAATGCATAATGGGCACCCAGGCACCGGTTTCACGAACAACGTTAGAAATACATTTCACGGTTTGAAGGTTAACACCGCCCAAAAAACTGGCTGAATTATTCGTATTATTAAAACGTAGTGAAATTTGTGCATCAACTTTTTCCAGAGCTGGAAGTACTGGTTCTTGGTTGATTTCTATGGGCCATCTATAACGAAAAAAAAAAGTTCAAAATGCTGAATTCTCCATGATTTGGGGACCCAGGAAATGCGTTAGAATATCAATAAATTAAAAAACAATCAAATGCATTGTTTAAAAGTGTCAAAAGTTGTCTAATTTGAAGTTCAAATATTTTATTCTGTCAAATCTTTGTTTTCAGCAACAGCTTGATGTAAAATTATAGCACAAAAGACAAGAAATTTTTTTGTTTTCACTAGATTAAAAAATAAAATTATTTCAAGCAGACATTTTTCATTTCATTATATGTAAACTTTAATTTCAGAGTATACAATAGGGTGTTTTCCTGAAATTAAAAAGAGAAAAATGGTAGTTTTCAATTTAAAGAGCATAAAATTCTGTTTCAAATTATGGCATTAATGTAAAGAATTGATTGATATTGGCACGTCCCGAAGCAAAAAACTCTTTGCAAAATCGAATAATGCTTACCTAAAAACACCCACTAAAGTACTCCTGCGCAGTTAACATCAACCAGATGGGGAGTCAACTTGCTTCAACGCAACTATCCCACATGATCGGGATAGCCTTTAATAACTAATGTTACATTTGTTTTTTTTTGTTTGCAATGTGCTGATTAGACAGCATGATCAGCTGGCTGCTGGTCGTACTCGAACATTTCTACATCATTATCCACGATGGCGACAGCAGCAGCGGCTGCTTCAGCGGTTGCTCTAGCGGCAGCAGCAGCGGCAACAACAGCGGCTGCTTCAACAGCTTCGCACCAATACCTATTGATCGCCTCTGGTATCGGAAGTCCCAGTAATGTCCATAGTCCTGAACGATTAAACAAATGAACCTTCTTGAAAAATCATTCAATCGAAATTGTGCGTCAATTAGTATTACCTTTCAGTAGAATGTTCTTAGCAGCCACGACGTCACGATGCCAAATCACAGAGCATTCGAGGTTTAATCGCCAGTTTTTGTAGTAACATTTTACTTTTGGGAATAAACACTCGTCTTCTTCCGATGCTTCTTCGTTCATGGCGCGTTGTAACTGTCGGTAGATCGATAGATCCGTTTTGCCCAACTTTGACACAATTTTCGTTGGCAGCAATGTTCTGGCGTCGGGTACGCATCGGCATTTCTTGAATCTGGCCGCTTTGTTCTGGTTTTGGAATCGATTCATACATCTTGCGTCGGTTTGAGATGTTCCCCATTCGTCCACCAATTGTATGAAACAATCTCGGCGCTTCTTTATTGACCTCAAAGTCTTACGCACCCCTGGGCACCGCACGTGCTTCTTGATACTTATTGGGCTATCAGGTGGTATTTCGCCATCAGCACCAAAAAAGAACAGAGTCGGTTTCTTATCGGTCACCTTATTCACCCATTCGTCGACAACACTACTGCTCTTGATGTGTTTGTCCAAGGCGAGTCGAGTGTACTTGGCAGTTGAGTAAGCGCAGATTCCATGCTTCATCATCTTGACTCGGTGTTTGATGTAGTTCAGCCACATTGACCCTTTTGGCGACGGCATCACTGGATACAGCTCACGGTTTTCTCTGTCTGCGCGCTCCATTTCGACGAAATTTTTGGTCCATCGCTTTGCTTTGGCATTTCGCACCTTTTGACCTGTTTGCCAGTGGAATTGCTTGCTCGACATTACAAAGTTGGTCTGAAAAAATAAATAGAAAAAAAAGGTATAGTTATTGAGTTTTGGCACTTAAGCATTTTCTATTAAAATACACACAACTTATTCAAATGTATACAAAACTTACTTCTTTGCCAGTTTCAATGTCGTGTGTTGTTGTGGTATTCCAACTTCGCACGCCTGTATCAACGCCCGAAAAATTTTTGGTTGTGCCATCCTCAATCTTCCGAATGATGCGAGATTTTTGGTCGGTTTCTTTGTTGTCTGTCTTCTTTTTGGCCGAGTACTGGAGAGACACAGAGATTCCATCGGTGTTTATGGAAAAGTCAAACTGCTTTTTGCCACGTACGAATCGTCGAATTTTTCGCATGTAAAAATACTGATTCCACCAATAATCTCTGTCCCGGTTGAAATCCTTTTCTGGAATAATTGTTGTGCTTGTTGTTCCTTTTTTATTCTCAATTTCCACTTTCGGCAACAATTTTTGCGAAGACAACACCTGTCGCATGGATGTACAATCGATTCTGAATTGCGTACGCCGGAAATCACACATCGGCACCACTACTAAATTTCGAATCAATGGCCGAAAATCTGGGTTGTCGAGCATTTGGTTGCGCTTGCGTTTCCATTTTCCTTTTGTCTTTTTTCGCTTTCTTTTCTTGCGTTTGGGTCGGCGCTGATGTGGCCACTCCGAATTGTACTCTTCTATCTCGCGCTGCATAGATAGGTACATTGGCATGGCCTTAAACCAATGTTTTGGGTCAGTTGTAAGGTCATGCAGATCGATTTCTGGGAACACATTCAGGTCGTTCACCATGTCATACAACACGCTACACCGTTCGAGTTTGTTTGGATCGCGAATTGGCACTTTGATGTCTTTTTGTTTGATGATCAGATTCACAACACTTGCGATGTCACTTGGCAAAAATTTCTCTGCATCATCTCCTACGTCTGAGTTCCATTGGAAAACCTTCAGTTTCAAGTACTGGGTGATGTGTTTGTTAGCATGCGTTTCAAGATTGGTGACGACGTTATCTGTGTACTGATTGGTCAAATGCTTGAGGCCATTGCCGAAATTTTTGTTGTTGGGCCAATCGATACGATGATAGTCGTCAAGACCTTCGACAATTGCCTTGAATTCAGGATCGATACGTGGCAGCTCTGCTCGTGGTCCTCGTGGCTTTGTTCCGCTTGGTTTATACCTTGACTTCGGTTTTGGTGGCTGATTGTTGTGCCATAGCACTTGTTCAAAGCAGAGTTTGATCTTATCTTCTCCACTTCCACCAAACAATGCGAAATTATTGTTCTCGACGCCTATATTCGAACGCCTTTTGCACCTCAAACAAGAACAGCAATGAGCCCAAAACACAAATGGAAGTGGCTTGCAAACTCAGATCTGTTATTTTGCTCATCAATGCCTGCTGGTATTGTGGGCGAATGATTGTCTTTAGCACACATTTGATCGTCGTAATTTCTTTGTCCTTCGTTTCTCCCTTCGCTGGAATGGATGCCTTGAAACGATTCGCCATTTTCCTATTGAAAAAACACACACATATTCGATTTAGTTTAAAAATGAAGAATATTGAAACTTAAATTTAATCTGTTCGAACGAGAACAGAACGAGAATTTATCGCCTTTTTTGGTATACACCTGATGCAACACACAAAAGTGACAAAAATCTTCGGATTGATAACAATGGCAGTGATTTAGAGAAGCGATTAACTGTTTCCCTTCATCTCTGAACAATGGAACCAATTCATATTGGGTATCACCGCTTGAAATGAATTTTACCACGTCACGTAACAGAATTATGTACTGCAAAATTATTGTGAAATTCATTATTTTTTCCATAAAATGTAATATTACTGTTCAAATGTTAAACGTTAAATAATTATTAGACTCGTTTAAATATATTTCACGTTATAAATGGCTTATATTACGTGCTATGAAACAAAAATGAATTTCACAATAAGAAGACATTAAAATGATTAAGTATACGCACACTCAAGTCACTTGAATTCAACAATGTGCCGGATCAAATTGATACAAAACGCACGTGTATCGAAAATAATATGAATTATAAGCGAAACCGTAGGAAAATTAAAACATTGAATTGGAATTCACACTGCTGTAGTTTTTATTGTAATGAAATGTACGATTGATTTGTTGACTTGGTGTTTACATCGCCAAATGTGTTCTCGGTATGAGCAAACCGGCGATTATGACATTATGACATTTCGAAAACCAATGGAATGAACGTCAAATGTCATAAGGCTCGGTTCACATCAATAATACTAATTCAATATTTAGACATTAGACAATTTTTGCTTCAAAGTGTTCTTTGCTTCGGGACGTGCCAATATCAATTGATGCTTCACATTAAGGCTATAATTTGAAACAGGATTTTATGCTCTTTAAATTGAAAACTACCATTTTTTTATTCAAAGATATGAAAAACACTCTAGTATACAATATATATTGTGCACAATTTCATTGAGGAAACAACAATTATTATAGAATAGGAATGGCAAGCCTCTTGAAATTTTGAGAATATGCATTCAAAAGTATTACCATATGTTTGTATCCAGACTTGCACACACATACATCACATATCGCAACCAACTTCATTGCAAACCTTCCCCGGCATATATATAGTTCTGTCACAAACATTCGTGAAAAAGAACGCCACATTTCATTTGTTTGATATTTGTTTTCTTCAACATTTCTGTGGATATCTACATAAAAAAAACCACTCGAATAATATATTTTGAATTGTGCACAGTGAATGTTTGCATTCCTAAAAAAACTGTGAAAGGAATATATCAATTTTGACAACACCACAATGTATTTGTACAATTTAACGTTACAACATTCAACTGCGATAACACATGCGGTTCATGGCAGCTTTTCTGGAACAAAGTCTCAGGAAATTTTGGTATCACGCGGTAAAAGTATCGAATTGTTGCGGCCCGATCCGAACACAGGAAAAATTCACACCTTGCTGACAGTTGAAATGTTCGGTGTAATACGTTCCTTAATGACATTTCGTTTGATTGGTGGATCAAAAGGTGAATAACACAACATTGCTGTTGATTATTGTAAAAACAATTAATAATGCGCACTCAAAATTTCTTTATATAGACTTTGCCGTAGTTGGTTCGGATTCTGGACGAATTGTTATATTGGAATACATACCGTCAAAAAATATATTAGAGAAGGTGCATCAAGAAACATTTGGAAAATCGGGATGTCGCCGAATTGTTCCAGGTCAATATTTGGCTATTGATCCAAAGGGTCGTGCCGTTATGATTGGAGCAGTCGAAAAGCAGAAGCTTGTTTACATTTTGAACCGTGACTCCGAGGCGCGTTTGACAATTTCATCACCACTGGAAGCACATAAGTCAAATACATTAACGTATCATATGGTTGGTGTTGATGTTGGATTTGAAAATCCAATGTTTGCATGTCTGGAAATTGATTACGAAAAATCAGATTCTGATCCAACGGGTGAAGCCGCTCAACAAACCCAACAAACCCTTACATTTTATGAACTAGATTTATCATCAAATCACGTGGTTAGAAAGTATTCAGAGCCATTAGAAGAGCATGCAAACTTTCTTATTTCTGTACCCGGTGGTAAAGATGGGCCATCAGGTGTTTTGATTTGCTCTGAAAATTATTTAACTTACAAAAACTTGGGCGACCAACATGATATACGTTGCCCGATTCCTCGAAGGCGGAACGATTTAGATGACCCTGAGCGTGGCATGATTTTCATATGTTCTGCTACTCATCGCACCAAATCGATGTATTTTTTCCTTGTCCAATCAGAACAGGGTGACATTTTCAAAGTTACTTTAGAAACAGAAGATGATGTCGTATCTGAAATCAAGCTCAAATACTTTGACACAGTCCCACCAGCAACAGCCATGTGTGTTCTAAAAACTGGATTTCTATTCGTCGCCTGTGATTTTGGAAATCAGTAAGCTACTACAGTAATACTATTGGTTCAGCTTTAAAATTTATCATTGATTTTCTTTGCAGTTATTTGTACCAAATCGCACATTTGGGCGATGAAGATGATGAGCCTGAATTCAGTTCCGCGATGCCCTTAGAAGAAGGCGACACATTTTTCTTTGCACCAAGACTTTTGAAAAATCTAGTAATGGTCGATGAGCTACATTCCTATGCCCCTATCTTAGGATGCCAAGTCGCTGATCTAGCCAATGAAGATACGCCTCAATTGTATTTATTGTGCGGGCGAGGTCCGCGTTCCTCACTCCGAGTTTTACGTCACGGATTAGAGGTATCTGAAATGGCTGTGTCTGAGCTCCCTGGTAATCCAAATGCAGTATGGACCGTGAAAAAACGAACTGATGGTAATTTACCTTTTAAATGCAATTTGTAGCATGATTATTTATGTTATTTATTTAACAACACCACTAGCCCCGCTGAATATATGATTTTGTAAAATAATAGTATTCAACATTCAGTTTTGTTGAAGTAGTCATTCTCATTTGGTGTAAGGTTTTTATCTAAAATAAGCCAGCCGAAGCGTTAACATTGTAGTGACGGCCTTAATGATTGCAAAAGTCATCATTCAGTTTATCAAAAGGTGATACATTGAAGAAAAGATTTACGTCCAAACTAACAAGTCCCTGTTGATAGTTATGAATTTGCAATTGACTAAATTGAGGCCAAAGACATAAAAAATCAACTTATTTTCGCAAATACATTGACACAAAAGCTAATTTCCATTATAGTAATAGTTCAAAAGTTAAATACCAATTCAAAGGATGGCTATATCACAGTAGACTGCATCGTTTCCGACAAAAGTTGACTAATTTTGGGGACAAATAGCCAATTCGTTGAAGAATCATGAGAAAAGGAAATTTCAATCCGAAAATGTCAAAAACCTATGATTGGAACCTGGCGCATTATGTATATCGCCAAACAATCGATTTTAGTCATTTTTGATGGAATATACAATTTTACTCGCTGTCATCACATTTTTTGCCATATTAATTGCTTTGTGGCTGTAGAATTAAACAAATATAATACAAATGAACAATTCTCAATCGTTTTCACATCGATTTTTGATCATTTTTAGTGAAAAATGGGTAATTTCAGGCAAAATTTTGAACATTTTGTATGGGAGGTACCCGTAAAACGCTTTCGAATAGCTTCAAACTTCCTGAGATTTCATTTTTTGATGAAAAAAAAAGATTCTAAAAGTTTCATGCTGATCGCATTTGCACAAGTTTGGTTTTTGATCTTTAATTTTTTCGAAATTTCCTTGAACTTTCTCTTCGGTTATAACATTTCAATGCGAACTCCCAATAAACTTATAAACATATTTAGACCGCATATCACTTAAATTCTTCGCTTGACATCCCTGTCTAAGATTCAAGAGAGAAACTGTACTGGTCCAATTGATACAAGTCATTTTGAGTCCACCAAAGCCTCAAAAAGTGGCCAAATTCTCGTATTTTCCACTAAATTTAGTATGGAAAGTAGTGATGGGCAATTTACCCAGGATTTAAATTTGGGTAAATTTCTTGGGTAAATACCCAATTTGTTGGGTATTTATGGGTATTTTCGAAATAGCTAAAAAAGTAGCAAAATTTTAATAAAAAACTGTTAAAAAGTAATATTATGAATGAAAGATACGGAAATTTCATTTTAATTGTCATCTAAACTTTTTTCTGAACTTTTATCATGTCGCATTTGCTTTGAACTGGTACTGGTGTGGGTGCTTGCTTCTTCATTCTTTCGCTTTCTACTTGTAGCCTGCATCAACTTATAGTTGTGTGCGATGTACTTAATTATACCCGATGTTTCCGTTGTCAAACGATTTCTCTTCTGTGTCTGAAACTCACACTGTGAATGAACCAAATGTACTTTCTGTTTGTGTAGAAGTCAATGAAATCGTGAGAATTTTTTCGGCTATTTTATCAAGAGCTGTATGTCCAAAAAATGATTTTCACCAAACCAACGGACTAGCATTTGCACAAGAGACCCAAACGAAGTCCGTGCCCCAAATTTTTACTTTTACTCGATAATTTATCAATTGAGTCATCACCGCTTCTTCGTCGAGTTTTACTTTTTTGGCTGATAAGACAATAAAACTAATGCTGCAAATATCATGATCGGTTTTATTATTTTATATTTGCGCTCTTGAACAGATTTGTCAGCATTTTTTTTATTGCAAGCATTAAAAACATTCGAAGATTTAGCCAACGAATCCACTGTTGCGAACATATTGCTCAATAGTTTATGTGATTTATGAATAACTACGTCATTAGTTTCCAATTGTGTTCAATATTTCGTGAGGTCCTTCAAATTTTAACCAAAATTGATCGTCCAATATGAATATTTTCACATCGCCTGGCAATTATGGTTCTTAATCGTTCGCGTTTATTTAATCAAAATCGGCTGAAATATCTGGATCAGCTACCATTAACCGTAAAATTCCTTTTTTTTGCGATCAACGATTCGAGAGCCTGTAGTTCGTATACCCATCGAGTTTCAGATGGTAGTTTAAGAGTCACATGGGTCTCCATTTCACGTTGCTTTTGGCTGAATAAACTATACAGGACGTGGCATTTTTATTCTATTCGTGACTTTTTTAACTTTGAAAAATTTTTCGCTCGAGGAAAGTAAATTCAGTGTATGAGCAACACAACCAAATGTGTGAATATGCGGGTATTTTTCGGTGCAGTTGAGACCATCTTGCATATTACGCTACATTATCGTACAAAAACACAATGTGTCCAAAACGCATAAATACGGCATCGCATAAGGCAGTTTTCGCATAATTATCGCGCGATAATTTTCTGCTTGCGTTGCCGCAGAATACGATATTTCAATAGCCGTCGTCTTACGACGCACGTTCGTATTGCTTTACACATATAACGAAGCGAACGCAAGCGAGCGTCGCAAGACGACGGCTATTGAAATATCGTATTCTGCGGCAACGCAAGCAGAAAATTATCGCGCGATAATTATGCGATCACTGCCTTATGGGATGCCGTATTTATGCGTTTTGGACACATTGCAAAAACAGCTAAAACTTGAATAATCTGATTTGAATTCAACATAAATTCAAAGAAATCACCTATTTTAAAAATACCCATAAATACCCATTTTTGGGTATTTATTCAGCTCTTCGGGTAAATACCCGATAAATACCCGGTAAATACCCGGTATTTATTCGGGTGGGTAAATATTGCCCATCACTAATGGAAAGTACTGTAAATTTGGATAGAGATATGATATCAACACATATAATGGCTTAAATAAAAGGTATTGTGATAACAGCGAGTAAAAAGTGTATATTCAATCAAAAATGACTAAAATCGATTGTTTGGCGATATACATAATGCGCCAGGTCCCAATCATTGGTTTTTGATATTTTTGGATTGGAATTTTCTTTTCTAATGATTCCTCAACGAATAGGCTATTTGTCCCCAAAATTCATCAATTTTGTCGGAAAGGATGCAGTCTAATATAACAGTCAATGTTGCTAATTATATCAAAGTTTGTGTAAAAATTACAGATAAATATCGCTATTCCTATACATTCAGTAGAGATGTAAAAAAACAAATTGTCTCTATATTAAATTTTTGGTTTTGTCCACTGCGTACGGACGAGATGAAGTTTGCGCGACTGGTGGAATTTTTGAATTGATCAGTTAATTTGTTTGCAAACTTGCACATTTGTCGCACTTGAACTCTGTTTTGCTTATCGATGAGCTTTTCTTTGATCTTGAGGTAGTTTGTGTGCTGTAAGGTACGAATGCTCTCTCTGATTGCGATGTCGTTGCGTACATTGGGACAATGCGTTCCCAATTGCGTTTGATATTTATATCTAACTTATTATTATTCATTTTGACTTTTATCGAAACAACAACGAAAAGACGAAGTTGATACGTAAAATAACTGTGTATATTTCTTAAACTATTCATTTATGTTTAGATGAATATGATGCATACATTATTGTGTCGTTCGTAAATGCCACCCTGGTTCTTAGTATTGGCGACACTGTTGAGGAAGTAACTGATAGTGGATTTTTGGGTACAACACCTACATTGTGCTGCTCATCGCTTGGTGAAGATGCTCTCGTACAAGTATATCCCGAAGGTATTCGACATATTAGGGCTGATAAGCGTGTCAACGAATGGAAAGCACCAGGCAAGAAAACTATATCGAAATGTGCCGTTAATCAACGCCAAGTTGTGATTGCTTTATCTGGAGGAGAGCTGGTTTATTTCGAAATGGATCCTGTGAGTTTTTCAAAGATGATTGAAATTGTTCATTTTATATATTCAATTGATAGCAATTAATCTCAATTGTTTATCATTTTTGTTTTTTCTATTTTTATTTCAAACAGACCGGTCAATTGAATGAATACACTGAAAGGAAACGTATGCCATCAGAGGTTTTGTGTATGGCTCTCGGTACAGTGCCACCAGGGGAACAACGTTCCTGGTTCTTGGCTGTTGGATTGGCTGACAATACTGTCCGTATAATATCACTCGATCCATCTGAATGCTTATCACCCAGATCTATGCAAGCCTTACCATCATCACCGGAATCTTTGTGTATTGTTGAAATGGGTGTCGCAGATTCCATTGAAACTGAAAGTGGTAGCACTCAGTCAAGTGGTTCATTACATTTGAATATAGGTTTGAGTAATGGTGTGCTACTACGTACATCACTAGATCCTGTAACAGGTGATTTAGCTGACACAAGAACACGTTATTTGGGATCCCGGCCAGTTAAATTATTTCGAATAAAAATAAAAGGTTTCGAATCTGTTTTGGCAATGTCTAGTCGCACCTGGTTGAGTTATTATTTCCAAAACCGATTCCATTTGACACCTTTATCATATGAATCACTTGAATTTGCTTCTGGATTCTCCAGCGAACAATGTTCGGAAGGAATTGTAGCAATATCAACAAACACTTTGAGAATCTTGGCTTTGGAAAAGCTCGGTGCTGTTTTCAATCAAATCACTTTCCCACTGGAATATACACCTCGCCGTTTTGCAATTCATAGTGATACATGTCGCTTGATTATCGCTGAAACCGATCATAACGCTTACACAGAAGACACCAAAGCAGTCAGAAAAATGCAAATGGCAGACGAGATGCGAGAGGCGGCAGGAGAAGATGAACAGGAATTGGCTAATGAAATGGCTGAAGCCTTTATTAACGAGGTATTGCCTGAAAACATATTTTCGTCACCAAAGGCCGGTGCTGGTATGTGGGCATCGGTGATTCGTATAATTGAACCAGCCCATGGGCATACTATACATAAAGTAAAACTGACGCAAAACGAAGCAATTATCTCCATGTGTACTGTGAAGTTTCACTCAACTATGGACGGAAGAACTTACTTGGCGGTTGGAATTTCGAAAGAACTACAATTAAATCCGCGAGTTAGCAATGGTGGCTGCATTGATATTTATCGCATTGATGTAACTTGTTCAAATCTAGAATTCATTCATCGCACGGAAATGGATGAAGTACCAGGTGCACTATGCTCATTCCAAGGCAGACTTGTAGCTGGTATTGGAAAAATTTTGCGTATTTATGATTTGGGCAAGAAGAAACTTCTACGCAAGTGCGAAAATAAACATATTCCAAATCAAATTGTGAACATACAATCAATGGGACAACGTATTTATGTGGCCGATGTTCAAGAATCTGCATATTTTGTGCGATATAAACGGGCTGAAAACCAAATAATTATATTTGCCGATGACACCCATCCACGGTGGATCACATCCATGACATTGCTTGATTACGATACAATCGCAACCGGCGACAAGTTTGGCAATGTTTCAATTTTACGCCTCCCTCATTCAGTCACCGATGATGTAGATGAAGATCCAACCGGTACAAAATCGTTATGGGATCGTGGATTGCTAAGTGGTGCTTCACAAAAAGCTGAAAATATCGGAACTATTCATATCGGTGAAATTGTTATGTCAATGCAAAAAGCTACCTTAATACCCGGTGGCTCTGAATCACTTATATATGCAACAATCAATGGATCTGTCGGTGCTTTAGTACCATTCACAAGCCGCGAAGACTATGACTTTTTCCAACACTTGGAAATGCATATGCGAAACGAAAATCCGCCTCTTTGTGGGCGAGATCACTTAAGTTTCAGAAGCTACTATTACCCAGTCAAGGTAAATAATAGATAAATTTCAAATGCTCGATTTTTTCAGAGAGTTTCACGTGCAATTTTTTTTTGAAGAAATGGTTATATTTACAACTAACTAGAAAAAAGGATTAAATACCCAAGAATTAATCACTCAAGTTGAGAAATGGACAATTTATACTATCGCATGAACTGTTTAGATTGGAATAATCCTTTAAATATTCTTTTAAAATTACAAAATTAAGTTATAAATAATTCTTGAATTTATAATTTTACAGAATATTATGGACGGTGATTTATGCGAACAATTTACATCTCTTGATACAGCAAAGCAGAAGAATATCGCGAGTGATCTAGGGCGAACTCCAAACGAGGTGGCTAAAAAATTAGAGGACATTCGGACTAGATACGCATTTTAATGAATTAATTAATAATTTCATTAATTTCCGTTGTTATACTTCTATATTCTAAGATTCTGATTGGTTTAATAAAAGAATGTAATGAATTAAATTTATTTTTAAGAACTTACAGCAGTGCACCGTTCTGCAGAATGCTCTTATCAAAATAAATTGAGATTTGATTTGACGGTAATTGTAAAGGTTTTTTTGGTATAACTTAATGCAACAGTTTTTTTTATTTCCACGTCTTTCGCCCTCGTACAAAATGTATGGCAAACGCATAGAAATATCTGATAAAAATATTCATGCAGATATGCTGGAAAGGGTGTAAACGTATGCAACTATGTTCTGAACTCATTTTTACAAAAAAAAACTACCAAATTAGATTAAAACTATCCATCGTGCATAGTATGTACTATAGTTATAACCAGTAAAGGTCATACTCGTTGATTTTAAAATGACGGCACGTGTTAGATATAATATCCTTCAAAGTCTTCAGAAAAAAATTTATACGCTAATCTCACTGCCTAACTTTCGGCAGGGTTTCAAAATCGGTAAATTTAAAATTCATTCTCAAGAGGGGATATGTCTGACCCTTAGAACCCTGGCTAGAACTTGATTGTTATCAACGAGCACGTCTGTTCGGATGTCCATTTGCTTGTTCCTAGAGAATAAATTACACTTTGAAGAGTTCTGAGGAATCCCATTGTCAAACTTCAGTTTTGAAATGTATTTTTTCAACTCTTCCAAAATAGTAACAACCAAGTCTTCTTTTATAACAGGGAGTGTAACTCCGAGGAGGAGGAATGGTGAGGAGGTGAATGAGGAGGAGGAGAGCGCTGAGGAGGTTCCTCCTCCTCACATGAGGAGGAAAT